TGGAACTCCCTGCCTCACCCCCTCTTCGCTTGTCTTCACATCCCACTTGAAGACTATCCTCTTCAACCACCTCCCCTCTCTCCCTGGCTCAGCGTCCAACTCTGTGACTGTTAAGCGCTCCGAGATACTACCCTGTGTGAAGGGCGCTATATAAATGGAAGTTGTGGATATTGTATTGTGTTGTTGGAGTCTCACATGTTTGTCTTTGAGTAACCCCCCCCCCCGCCCACCACACACATACACACACATGCAACCCCCACACATACACACACGCACAAAGATGTACGCATACATATCTGCTGTATTATAGTCTCTTTCTTTGATTTCTTTAAATGTATTTCTTCTCCAAAGTGGTTTGGAGATGATACTCTGAGCCTATCAATGTGGAGGAGTTGAATTAAGCAAGCAGGGAATCATTAACACAGAATTCCTCAGAAACCTTTTAGTTTCATCTTTGTCTCCATCCCACCATTAACCTTCAAAGCAACTCTCCCACTGAGGTAATTACTGCACCCTGTTACTATAGAAATCTGTGACACAGTAAGAGGCTACTTAGCCCAATTGTATTACTGATGTTGTTTGCTCCTTCAGTAGAGTCATCTGTCCTTATCCCAATTCTCAGACGATGTCAGCCTGGCTCTCAGTCTTGCCTCTGAGTCAGAAGGTTGTGGGTTCAAGCCCCAAATTGGGACCGTGAGCCTGGACACTCCAATACTGGCGGAGTGCTGGATTGTTCAGAGATCTTGTGTGCCTGTGGATGTCATTCACGGCAGTCAGCAGTCAGACATTGGTCAGTCACTTTGTGGTGTGCCATTTGTTACTGTGCTATACAAATAATAATAGTAATAATAATCCTTGCATTTGATATAGCGCCCTATCACGTAGTTGAGATGTGTCAAAGAGCTTCACGGAGTATACTGTGAAGTGGCTTGACTGTGTATTTTGTGGGTGAAACGCGGCAACCAATTGCACACAGCAGTGTCCGTCAAACCCTTGTGGATTGAGTGACCAAATGTTTTTGGAGGGTTTATTACCCCCGGAAAGCAATCCGCCAATCGACTATCAACCAGGTTCCTACTTACTGCTAGGTAAACAGAGGAGTGTGGAGTAAGGAAACCTGCCTAAGGTTTCGCCCTGCCCAGAAACTGAACTCAAATCTCTCGCCTCACTGCCATGCGTTCTCCTACAAATGCACAGTTGCTAAATTTTACAGTAAATCTTGTGTGAAGAGCTTTGAGATGTCCTCCTAATGTGGAAGCTGTTACATCAGGTGCAAGGATTATTATTAAGAAATCCTTTCTCTATAATAGGCTCCCTAGGTAGACAGCGGAAGCAGAAAATGTTGTTTGTTTCAAGAACAAATGAGATAGATTTCCACTAGAAAAGAATATCTCAGGATGCAGTGTATACAACAACAAGATTGTATAGTATAGTTTGGGACATGATATGTCAAGTGACTGCCAGGATGGTGGAAGGTGAACTAGATGGACCTTGGACTTTTTCCGCAGGTTCTTATGTTCTTATCGGAAATCTCAATAGTCTATATTGCATTTGAAATAGCGCCTTATCACATTGTTGAGAAATACTGTAAAGTGGGTTGACTGTGTATTTGTGGACTAAATGTGGCAGTCAGTTTGCACATAGCAATGTCCCACAAACAGCCATGAAGTGAGTGAACAATCTTATTCGGGAGATTGTTGTATGGGACAGTGGGAGGAACACTCTTCTCTGTTTCAGTAATGCTATGGGAATGTTAACGTGCAACTGACCAGGCAAATGGGACCTTGGCTTAACTTCTCATCCAAAGGACCGTACCTCCGACAATAATAGAATTATAGAATATTACAGCAAAGAAGGAGGCTATTCAGCCCATCGTGTCTGTGCCAGCTCTTTGGAAAACCTGCCCAATCAGTCCCACTTCCCCGCTCTTTCCCCATATCCTTGCAATTTTTTCCACTTCAAGTGCCTATCCAATTCCCTTTTGAAAGTTGTTTTTGAATCTGTTTCCACCTCCCTTTCAGGCAATGAATTCCAGATCGTAACGACTCTCTTGTAAACAAATTTTTCCTCATCACCGGCTGGATCTTTTCTCAATTATCTTGAATCTGTGCCCTCTGGTTACCAACCCACCTGCTAACAGTTTCTCCCTATCTACACTTTACAGTACACCGTGTGAAGCACTTAGTGATGTCCTCCTGACACGAAAGGCGCTGTATCAAATGCAAGTAATATTATTATTATTATTTACTTTATTGCTATTTATAAATGACTCAAAGAAGAGCAGCTGTTGTGATGTTATAAAATCTGCTGATGTTACCGAACTATGTCGGTGATTAATTGAAGGAGAATTAATAGCATCTACGAAGATCTGGGCCAATGGCGTGATTGTTGTTATATAATCATAAATAATATTATATCGTTAAAATATAAATCATGTTATATAATCAATTATTCATACAACAGCAAAACTAAATTACAGGTGTACAACATCAAGAGGACGTCCCAGGGAGCTGGATAGTCAGGGATCCGTACCTGAGCTGGTGGTTGGGACTAGGAGGGGTGGAGGGTAGGGGTAAGAGGATGACCGAAGGCACGGTCAAAGAGGAAGGTCTTGAGATGGGTCTTGAATAGGCAAGGGAGGGGGCGAGATGGAGGTAATGTGGGAAGGAGTTCCAGAGGGTGGGGACAGAAAGGTTGAAAGCCCGCCCACCAATAAACCATAAACTGCAAGCAATAAACAACAATAATAAAACAACACACAATAATAATAAACAATAAACTATAAATGACGAACAATAATAATAAAACAACGAACAATAATAATAACCAGTAGATTATCCATTAACAGAGGTGCTGAGGAACATATTGCACGTGTTGGCTAATCGTTTGTTTGGGTTTCCACTCAATGTGAAGTTGCTGACAGCAAAGCTAATCCACCGTAAGAAGTAGGCTGTGTCTTCAGCCTGTCTGACCTCAGTAATTGTAAGATTATTGTAACCTTCTATAGATTATTGACGTTGCTACTGTTGGTAAAGACTTTCGCGCACTCTTCCGCTCTTGGAGCAAGTTTAGAAAAGAGCAGGATTTAGTGGTCTCAGTTATCAGGATAGCCTGGTTTTCATTAGAAATGAAGATTGATGGCGACAAGATCCAGGTCATTACAATCACGAGAGGCTTAGATGATGTAAATATAAATAGGCAGCTTGACTTGCACCTTGAGAGTATGACTGGAGGGCATAGGTTTGAAATTAAACTGGCACTGGAGATACAAAGATATTTTTCCCCCCACAGAGCAGTAGATTTACAGAAGCAACATTCAACAGAGCAGTTGATGCTGTATCGATCATCATCTTTAAAGAGACCAGGAAAAGATTCTGCTTGACAATTGAGGGGGAGGATGTAGACCCAGCTGTGAACATGAGAATGAATTTGTGTGCTGCTCAAGCTGAGATATTCTCTGTGGAGGAAAACATATGAGGGTTTAAGGGGTGAGATACACTGATTAGGTGAACCGGCAAGCTTTCCCGCTGCTTGTCCAGCTAGGATCACCCTTATCCGTTAGGGTTTTGGCTTGCTGGGTTAGCAGGAGCTGCCCCCTGCCCCCAGTGACTGGTCTGCCCTTCCAAGTCCGGCTGATGAGCCAGGCTGTGCTAAGTGCTGGAGAAGGACTACATTTTACATTATAAATTCTCTGTGAAATTCTTTGAAATATTTTGACATTATGTCAAATACCAGGATTATTGTTATTTTATTATGGAGTCCTATAGCGTGTTGGTTAGAGCACTTGCTTGCAAGCGAGAGGACCTGGGTTCGATTCCCAGGCAGGGCGAAACCTTAGGCAAGTTTTCTTTCTCTCAATGCCTCTGTTTTATCTAGCAGTAAGTAGGAACCTAGTTGTTAGTCAATTGGCGGATCACTTTTCTGGGGGTAATAATCTCTTCAAAATAAATAAATACTAATAATAATTCGGTCACTCAAATCCACGACTGTTTGAGTGGGACACGTTTCGCCCACAAAATATACAGTCAATTTACTTCACAGTGTATTCTGTGAAGTGCTTTGAGACGTCTCGAAGATGTGATGAAGGCGCTGTGTCAAGTGCAACAATTTTTATTATTATTAATGAGATTAGTTTTGCACTGTCTGTGGAATATGAAGGAAGACTTGATGGGCAAATAGCCTCTTTGCATTTCGTGGCTTCTCTTGTACTTTTAAATGCACAATTTGGGACTCCAAATGACACAGTCATCGGGAGTGAAAGGTTTATTTTCATCTGCTGTTCATCCTCGTTGCTACTAAATTTATTTCTATGGATGGAAGAAAAAGTTGTCAGAGTGATTTGGCATAAAGAAGAAAAATCATTTTAATGCAAGTTATATTGTCAAATTATTTGTACAATGCTTTCATAGAATCAATGCAACTCAGACAAGCTAGAGAAATGATGAGGTGAAACTTCCATTGGTAGCGCTACAATGGCTAAACTAGGCAGAAGAAGAGTGGTTCATTATTTTACAATGGTAACATAACATTACAGGAATCTCAGATCTAAAGAACATTCATTAAAGTAGAATTGAAAATGTTTTTTAAAAAAAAAAGGATCTTCTTTTAAACTTACATTGTGACCAAACATCATCATATAACAGTCTCAACGTTCAAATCTGGTTTCAATACGTGTACATTTCTGAACTCCTTTTTGGTCAGAACCCATCATCATGTTTCAGAGTATCCAAACCAAACTACTGTGAGTTTCACATGTGCATGCAAATTTTCCTATGTCTGGAATGCAGTGAGAATTCTCTCTCCCCTGAAACCCTGCTCACCCAATGATGGAAATAGTTAAGTCCAGGCTGGCAAGACCCAAGGCTTGGGGACCCGAGAGCATGCATTTGGGTATCTCTGGAGTTTAAACAGTTAAAACCTTGCAGTTTGACATGGCAAGCACTGTTAGGCAAGCTTCTTGCTGCTTGTCCAGCTTGGACCACCCAACCCATTAGGGACTTGGCTTGCAAGGTTAACGGGAGCTGAGTGGGAGGTTTCCCTGCCCCTAGTGACAAAGAATGCTTCTCCTAGTGCTTCTGACAATGCGCTGGCTAGTCCAACATCAGTGCGGACCTGCCTGGCTCAGGAATAGAATAACCGAGAGTGCCACAGAGAGGGTTGTCTCAATTCTGGTATTCCATTGTCAACACGTCACCTTGGAGCCAATTCAACCCCAAAGATATTATGCTTTACCTCCTTCCCGAAGAGAATGGTCAATTAATCAAACCAGAAGCTCACACCAGTCTTATCTTAATAGTAAACCACAAATTAGGACTATTGAAACGAGACACTGAATCCTAGTGTCAATTATGTACAGTACATTAGTTTCAACCTGTACACTCAAAAGTTGGATTTCAATATTATTGTTCATTAAATGCAGCATTCTCAAAGTTATTGTTGTGCCCTGGCTTGATTGCAGTTACATATTGAAATCGTCAAGGCAAGTCTGGTTTAATCTGCTTTGTTCTACGCAAAAGACATGCAAATTACACTATGTGAAAAAAGTTCTGAAACGTTGAATAAATGTACAATATAAAAGTATCAAGTGCTTAAAATCTTACCTGGTTACATCACTACTTTAGACTAATGGCCAACGTACAGAGAAATCTGTACGTTTTCCAAACTGTTTAATTTGGGGAAGCGTTACTTGTTGTAATAGGCTCCCTGTTCAGGTATGTTGACCAATAAACCAAGTTAAATATTCCAAAGAGAACAGGAAATATCACCCTGGCCATTTTGTCAATCCTGCTGACACTGTTGTAAGACCTTTTGCTCTCCACTATCCTTTCTTCCGCTGTCTTCATCTGGACCGTGGTGCTCTTTGAAATACTTGCAATGACCGGTTCCCTAGTCGTCTCTCTGATAGCATAGTCATTATTCATGTTCTTCGCCATGGCTTCCCTTCTCTGTTCAACAACAATAACAACAATTGTTCATTTATGCACTTTGAAACGTCCCGAAGATGTGATAAGGCGCGATATCAAATGCAAGGATTATTGTTATTAATACTCACTTCACGTGTGTATGTGGGACATTGCTGTGTGCAAATTGATGGCCGAGTTTGCCCACAATACACACAGTTTACAGTATATCCTGTGAAGCTCTTTGTGACATCCTCCTAATGTGAAAGGCACTAAACCAAATGTAAGGATTGCTATCATTGTAACAAATTTACATCGAGAGGACATCCCAAGACGATGGCTTGTCGACGAGCTGGGGGTGGGGAACCAACCTTCCTTCAGATCATAAGAATTTGCTGGCAAAAGAAGACCAAGGTCCATCTAGTTCGCCTTCCACCATCCTGGCAGTCACTTGACATGTCGTGTCTCAAACTATATACTGTATCCCGAGATAATATTTTCTAGCAGCAATCTATCTGATTTGTTCTTGAAACAAATAAAAACATTTCTTTTCCCCTTCCCTCTCCCCTCCCCCTTCACTCAGTTCCCTTGCACAATGCGATGATATCTCGGATTATTAATGGACCACTGAATGGATACTAAACAGCATTCAGATTGACGCCTCGTGCTTTCTATTCGCTGGGAGGATTACGAGTTATCACGTTACATTAAGTGAGGGATAGATTCTGAGGAGAGACATAACGGCTTCTCTTATTGTGATAAACCTTTAATATAATAATAATCCTTGCATTTTGATATGGCGCTTTTCACGTCTTCGAGACGTCTCAAAGCGCTTCACAGGATATAATGTAGAGTGAATTGACTGTATATTTGTGGGCGAAACCCAGCAGCCAATTGCGCACAGCAATGTCCCACACACAAACAGTCGTGGACTGAGTGATCAAATTACTATTATTGTTTTTTTGAGGGATTATTATCCCTAGAAAAGCATTCCGCCAACCGTGTTCCTACTTACTGCTGAGTAAACAGAGGCATGTGGAGTAAGGAAACTTGCCCAGCGTTTCGCCCTGCCGGGAATCGAACCCAGGTCTCTCGCTTGCGAGGCGAGTGCTCTAACCACTGAGCTACAGGACTCCACACTTTAGCACTGGGAATGAAAAGGCCTGATGTGGCTGCCATGCGGTTGCAACCAAGAGAAAGATACCTTTATCAAAAGGAACAGCTGCTTAGCGTGACTTCATTTGTATTTGCAAATCAATTTGCAATTGAAATTTGCCCGAATCTCCGTCAACGGCAACCTTCTGGACCCACTGTTTTCTTCTCCTTCCTATTGACAATACCAGCCTAGTCCAACGAGCTATTTTGGGACGGACGCTGTTTAATTTTAGCTTGCCATTGTTGTTTCCGCATGGGCAGGAAGGAACCGGTGCTTTGTTGCTCTCTGGATGTGAATGTTAAGCAGCACTGCATGCATAACTTGAAAATAAATATTATAATAAAAATTCTTGCTTTTGATAGTGCCTTTCATGCCTGGAGGATGTCTTAAAGCACTTCCCGGGATTTTACTGTAACGTGCAGTGACTGCGTATCTTGTAGGCGAATGTGGCAGCAAATTTGTTCCGGTGTAAGCCTGGCTCCGCTAATAATAATGATAATAATAGTGAACCTTGCATTTAATATCACATTGGAAGGACAGGCTGAACTGTGAAACGAAGTGACTGTATTTGTAGACAAATTTGGTAGCACAATTGTGCAGGGCAATGTCCCACAAACAGCCTTGAGGTGAGTGACTGATATAATTTTGCGGAATTCTTGGCCAGGACACCGGGAGACAATCTCTTGTCTTTTCGCATTGTGTCGTGGAATCTTAAACATCTACCTGAACGGGCGTAGACGGGATCTCGGTTTAGCTTCTGATCTGAAGGACGATACCTCCAACAATGCAGCACACCTGAGTACAGCACTGGAGAGTCAGCTTAGACCATGTGAGTTCAAAATCCAGATGTGGGACTTGAACCCACAACAGGACTTAAGAGGCGAGAGCTAACTGAGCCAGGCTGATGTATATTGAGCCTACATAAAGGGTATCAATATGTATGAAAGACAATGCTTTGTTGCATTGGCTCTTTCCTTCAGGGAACACTAACGGCATATCTGAGCACCAAAGCGTTGATTCAACTTCTTTTCAATAAGGTAACTGCACAGAATGGTATTTGTTCTGTTAGAAACCATCAAAGCAGCCCCTGGATCTCGGTTAAGGACACATCTGCACTTCCGAGTCTCACTGATGAGCGGGATAGACAGGTCAGGTCACCATTGACAATGTCTTGGATTTACACTGGAGAAGTGTGCCTTTTCCAGAGATCTCAACCACTCGAAAATCCCTCGCCTTTCACAAAAATACAGTCAATCCACTTTACAGCCGATTCTGTGAGATGCCTCGATGACGTGATGAGACACAATATGAAACGCAAGGATTATTATTAATATATCTCAAAACGCTGCACAGGTTTAATGAAAAGTGTAGTGACTGTGCATTTTGTAGGTCAACTATGATTTCAAATGGGAATTCTGCCACTTTCCCAACCTCAGAGGCAGTCCAGAGAAGAGCAACGAGGATGATCCCCATTGTTAGAGGAACGAGCTGTGAGCAACAACAGATCAACTCAAAAAATACTTTTGGATGTTGGCAAGACAGCAGGACAACAGGAAATAGGTTTAGGTTTGCGATAGGCAATTTCAGGAAAGGAACCAGGAAGTATTTCTTTGCCCAATGGGTAATTAAAGATTGGAACGTCTTGCCAGGAAGGGTGATTGAGACAAGGACATTGGGAGACATAAAATAAAACAGCTTGATATTGTGAGAGCGGACACTAGGGTAGGTGTTTTGGAAGCATAAGATCAAACTAGCTTAAGTTGCCTCTTGATGTGAACCAATCTTTCGATCTAGTGATGTTCCTCAGATTGTGGTTGTCCTGTAAGTTGATACCATTTGCCTACCCTTTACAACATAGCCCGTAAAACCCTCCAGTCAGATGCCATGGATATTTAGACATCATCTACAAAACAAAATGTAAAAGCTCTCACCTTGGGTTGGAAAGCCTCCAGTGCTTTTTTGCCATCCCACGCCCAGCTTCGCTTGGTGAAGTAATTGACCGTAGCGAACTCGATTAGAGCGGAAAACACAAATGCATAGCACACAGCGATGAACCAATCCATGGCGGTGGCGTAAGCCACTTTGGGCAGGGAGTTTCGGGCACTTATGCTCAGCGTTGTCATTGTCAACACGGTAGTTACGCCTGAGGGAGAAGCAGACAGAGCTCGTATCAGTCGGACTATAATTGACTGAGAGTAAGACATTGTCATGAGTGTGTCCGAACTCATGGATTTCACGCTTTACATCAAAACAAGTCAAAGAGATCGGATGATGAATAATTTTGTGACAAAATTCCAATGTTTGCTGCTTACATTGGTTGCCTATGTTCCTCATCTACCCCATGGTCTTGATAACACAGAATATTCAATCATGGTGTATTGTTGTGCAATCAGACAGCAAGTTCTGAAGGGTTTATATCTTGCGTGCGTGTGTGTATGTGTGTATTTTTTGAGGTTGTATTTATTTTAAAGTGGTTTATGTTGGTTCCACGCATTGCTTTGAATTTGTGGCCATTCGTAAATTGCTTTTTATAAAAATAGTAATTGTCATGCCATGATATTTTTGTACAGTGTATAAAAAGAGGTTTTTTTTCCACTTTTTCAATGAGAAGCAGGGTAGATTTTTGTTAACCACAAACATGTCTTCGACCACGCTTACAGCCACCTCCCCACCCTAACTCCGCCACTGTAAAGCGCTCTGAAGCGCTACCCTGTGTGGAGGACGCTATATAAGTGCAAGTTGTTGTTGCTGGTGGTGGTGGTGAAGGTTGGGCCTTTGCTATGTGCAAAATGGCTTCTACTTTTCCCTACGAAAATAGTCAACGCACTTGACAACAATTACTGTAAAAGCGCCTTGAGACGCTTCAGATTGTTAAACGCCAGACGAATGCGAGTCAGAAGGTTTGGTTCCAGCCTAATGCCAGGACTTTGAATTCACAGTTTAAGCTGACTTCCAATAAGAGTGCTCAGGGGGGGGTGGGGGTATGTTGCATTGTCGGAGGTGAAGTCCTTCCGTTTAGATGTTAAACTGAGGTCCAGGTTACCTGCTCAGGTGGCTATTGAAGATCCCATTGGCACTATTTGTAATGAGAAGCAAGTGTATCCCGGTGCCCTGGCCAACAATCAACCTTCGTGGCTGTTTGTGGGACATTATTGCGTGCAAGTTGGCTGTTGCATTTTGCCAACCAATACACAGTCACTACAATTTAGGGTAAAAGCTGGGAAACTCTTTACGACATCGTGCCCAGGTAAGAGACATTGCATCAAATGTAAGCAATATTAGTAATATTCTGTAGTACTACAATAATGCATTATTTAAAAGGCAATGGAAAAATACTGAAAATGTAATAAGCATTTCAGTAAATGAGTTACATTTCTCTGGAATGTAATTGATATTAAACTACTCTTTGTATGCAAGCTTTGCCCATAAGATCTTTATTATTATTATTTTATTATTATTATAGATAGTGTTTTGTTTCGACTTCAAGATCCTCATACTAACCTACAAACCATTCACACTCCCTAGCACCCTCCTACCTCTCCAACCTGCTCATACCTCACAACTCTACCCCTAAACCCCAAGCTCTGGAACTACCTGCCCCAACCCCTGTGTCCAGCTTCAGATGTCACCTAAAGAAATTCCTCTCTGACCATGCTTACGGCCACCTCACTCGTGGAGTCCTGTAGCTCAGTGGTTAGAGCACTCGCTTTGCAAGCGAGACACCTGAGTTCAATTCCAGGCAGAGGGCGAAACCTTGGGCAAGTTTCCTTACTCCACACAGAGCCTAATAATACCTCCAAAACAAAAAACAATAATAAATTGGTCATTTTCAATCTACGACTGTTTGTGGGACATTGCTGTGCGCAATTGGCTGCCGCGTTCGCCCACAAATATACAGTCAATTCACTTTACAGTGTGTTCTGTGAAGCGCTTTGGGATGTCCTCCCGACGTGAAAAACACTATATCAAATGCAAGGATTATTATTATTATTGTTGTTGTTGTTGTAAACTCCACTTAGACAAACTGCCAGAGACATATTTCTGTTTTTATTTGAGTTCTGCTGGTAACAGGGAGATGTGACATAAAATTGCTGTCTAACTTTGCTGCCTGTGAGGTGGGGGTGTCGGGGGAGAGGGTCCGTGAATTTGTCACACGTCAGCCAATCCCTGCCAATCTTTCCTTGTGCTTTTAAAAAGCGGTTGATTCCGTCTTTGGAGATGAAGTGGAGTACTAAAAATAGCTGCATTTCCATGATCTGTTTACAATGGGATTTCCCATTAGAGGCCATTGCTATTCTTGGTGACTCTAGTCTGATAGACTCTTTCTGCCTCTCTTCACCTTGGAGGTAGATGTAATGACATTTCCTCTGTTACTTTGCCTCTGTACTGCGTGAGATTAGCAGTGACATTTGGCCCAGGATCATCCGTGAGCTGCAAGGCCAGAATGAACTCTAACCTGGTATCAAACGGTGCCCTGGGATCTTTAACGTCCAGCTAAAAAACACACAAAGATAGGCCATGCTCACCCTGCCTCCTCCCCACCCCTTTCTTCCCTTGACCATGTGAGCAAGAGGAGAGAGTACTACTAACCGAGCCAGGCTGACAACAAGCTGAATGTGAAACTGTCTCATTCTAAATGCAGTGAATTACAAGACTCTTATGCTTCACGTACTCTCTCTACTATCAATCAATCAACCTATGACTATTCAGCCCATGCTATCGAGCCTAAGTGTTCTACTCACTTCTCTCCCTATTGGGATGATACTTTCTTTCTATTCAGATCCCTCCTTTTTCGGGCATAATGACAATAATAATAATCCTTGCATTTGATATCGCGCCTTACCATGTCTTCGAGATGTCTAACAGCGCTTCACGGAATATACTGCATCCACTTCAGTACATCTACCATTCTCGCCTCTTAACCAAAAGGTTGTGGGTTCATGCTCCATGTCACGGACTTTGAACACACAAAAGTGGTCAGGGATTCTTCACAGTCAGCTCCTGTTAACCCTCCAACCCAAAGCCCTAACAGGTAGGGTGGTCCTAGCTGGACAAGCAGCAGGTGAGCTTGCTCTCAATGGCAAGCTATGTGGTTTGAGTTGGTTAGACTCCAGCAGTTACCCCAACACGCACTCTGGGGTCCCCAAGCCTTGGCTCTTGCCAACCTTTGCCTAATACTCTCCGGAGTTAGACAGGCAGGGTGCTCGTCTCCAGGCAGAGAGTACGCTTTCCATTCCAGCAATCTATGTTAATTCTCAGTTTACTTTCGATACTCTTAAGCACGCTGATGGGTTTCTGCAGGTGTCAGACACCCAGCTGAGCAGAAAATTACATTCTGAATAAATGGGCTTTACATGAGGAATGCCCCCCACATTCAAAAGCTTCTTCCGAAACATGAAATCTAATAAATCCTATGCACTTTTGTGCTTTTTTTGTAAAGTTTTTGGTAAAATAAATGTGTTAAATCAAGGTACCTGCAGGTTTCTTTGACAAACTTGTCGTTGAACCTATAATCTGCTCCATACTGGCTTGCAGCTAATTTAGATGATCAAGAATATTAGAACGTATTGTATGGATGAACCATAATATAATTTACATTAGGATTTCTTTGGGTTTATTATTATTAAAGCATTGCGATACCTCAACAGAATGAAAAAGTTTGCTCTTTTCTGACAAATATTTTTCAGCTATGCCACAATTCTTCAGCAGTCAGTGTCTTGGTTTCTCTGTACGGCGGTCATGCTTTCAGCCACTACGCCACTCTGGAAGCTCTGGTACTCCCTCTCTCATAGGATCATAGGAATTAGGAGCAGGAGAAGGCCATTCGGCCCCTTGAGTCTTCCCCGCTATTCAATAAGATCATGGCTGATCTTCTAACCTAACTCCATCTGCCGACTCTATCCCCATATCTCTTAATCCTTCTATTCTTTAGAAATCTATCAATCTCAGGCTTGAATATGTTCAAGGACTGAGCATCTGCAGCCTTTTGGGATAGAGAATTCCATAAATTTACTACCCTCTGAGTGAAGAAGTGTTTCCTCAACTCTGTTCGAAAGAGCTGACCCTTCATCTTAAGACTGTGATCCCTAGTTATAAATTCTCCTACCAGGGGAAATGTCTCACTCTTGTCTACTTTGTCAAACCTCATAAGAATCTTATATGTTTCTATAAGATCATCCCTAATTCTTCTATATTCTAGAGAATTATAGCCCTAGTTTATTCAGCCTATCCTCATAGGTCAACCCCCTATCCCAGGAACTAGTCGAGTGAATCTACTCTGCACCCCCTCTAAGGCGAGTATGTCCTTTCTTAAATAAGAATGCCTAAACTGTACACAATACTCTCGATGCGGTCTCACCAAAGCCCTATACAGTTGCAGCAAGACTTCCCTACTCTTGTATTCTAAACCTTTGGCAATAAATGCCAAAATGTCATTAGCCTTCCTCGTTGATTTCATACCCTCGTAATATCCTTGTATTCAAGTCCCTGCACTCCTCTGCACCCCCCCGACCTCTCTGACCTCCTCTCCTCAAAACAGTGGCCGTTGCCTTCGTTCCTCCGGGTCTGGCCTCCTCCTCGTCCCCCGAGTCCTCCGCTCCACCCTCGGCGGCCGTGCCTTCAGCCACTATGCCCTGAGGCTCTGAAACTCCTTTCCTCACTCCCTTTATCTCGCTCCCTCCTTTCCCATTTTCAGGTCTCTGCTGAAGACCTTTCTTTTTGACCGCGCTTTTGGTCACCTTCTTCCCCCTCCCCCTCCCCCCCGGCTCGGCCCGGGATCCGTTACTGTGAAGAGTTCTGAGATGCCTCCGGCGTGGAGGGCGCTATATAGATCCAAGTTGTTGTGTCGTTGTTGTTACTTGCTGTACCTGCATACTAAGTTTTTGTGACTGGTGTACAAGGACACACAAATCCCTCTGAACACTAACACTATCTCGTCTCTCCCCCTCTAGAAAATAATCTGCTTTTCTGTTTTTACTACCTAGGTGAATAACTTCACACTTCCCCACATTATGTTCCATCTGCCACCTTCTTGCCCACTCACCTCGCCTATCTATATCCCTTGGCAATCTTTTTGTGTCCTCCTCAGAGCTTACTCTCCCACCTAGCTTAGTATCATCTGTGAATTTAGATATTTTAAGTTCT